CCAGGGTGATTTTTGCCTATCCCAGGTGGATTTTTGGGTTCCCAGGGTGATTTTTGGGTTCCCAGGGTGATTTTTGGGTTCCCAGGTGGATTTTTGGATTCCCAGGTGGATTTTTGGCAGTTTCAGGTTGATTTTTGGATTCCCAGGGTGATTTTTGCCTATCCCAGGTGGATTTTTGGGTTCCCAGGGTGATTTTTGGGTTCCCAGGTGGATTTTTGGGTTCCCAGGTGGATTTTTGGGTTCCCAGGTGGATTTTTGTGTTCCCAGGGTGATTTTTGGATTCCCAGGGTGATTTTTGCCTATCCCGGGTGGATTTTTGGCCGTTTCAGGTTGATTTTTGGATTCCCAGGGTGATTTTTGCCTATTTCAGGCTGATTTTTGGCTGTCCCAGATGGATTTTTGGGTTCCCAGGTGGATTTTTAGGTTCCCAGGGTGATTTTTTCCTATTTCAGGGTGGATTTTTGGCAATCCCAGGTGGATTTTTGGCAATCCCAGGTGGATTTTTGGCAATCCCAGATGGATTTTTGGCTGTCCCAGATGGATTTTTGGCAATCCCAGATGGATTTTTGGCAATCCCGGGTGGATTTTTGGCAATCCCAGATGGATTTTTGGCAATCCCAGGTGGATTTTTGGCAATCCCAGGTGGATTTTTGGCAATCCCAGGGTGATTTTTGCCTATCCCAGGTGGATTTTTGCTTATCCCAGGTGGATTTTTGGGTTCCCAGGGTGATTTTTGCCTATCCCAGGTGGATTTTTGCCTATCCCAGGTGGATTTTTGGGTACCCAGGTGTATTTTTGCCATTCCCAGGTGGATTTTTGGCTGTCCCAGGGTGATTTTTGGGTTCCCAAGTAGATTTTTGCCTATCCCAGGTGGATTTTTGGATTCCCAGGGTGATTTTTGCCTATCCTGGGTGGATTTTTGGCAGTTTCAGGTTGATTTTTGCCTGTCCCAGGTGGATTTTTGCCTATCCCAGGGTGATTTTTTCCTATTTCAGGGTGGATTTTTGGCAATCCCAGGTGGATTTTTGGCAATCCCAGGTGGATTTTTGGCAATCCCAGGTGGAATTTTGGCTGTCCCAGGTGGATTTTTGGATTCCCAGGGTGATTTTTGGCAATCCCAGGTGGAATTTTGGCAATCCCAGATGGAATTTTGGCAATCCCAGATGGATTTTTGGCAATCCCAGATGGATTTTTGGCAATCCCAGGTGGATTTTTGCCTATCCCAGATGGATTTTTGGCAATCCCAGATGGAATTTTGGCAATCCCAGGTGGAATTTTGGCTGCTCACCGCCACGATCTCGGCGTGCGCGATGTTGGGCGCGATGTTCCTCATGAACAGCGAGCAGGTTTTGTGCAGCGCCCGCGGCCGCGCCTCGGGGACCCCCCCCGGGACCCCCCCCGGGACCCCCTCCTTGGGCCGGGGGGGAGGGGGCGTCCCCGCGGG